AATCACTGAAAACGTACAAATTCTGCATCGATAAGAGATAAGGAGTTCAAAACATTTTGCAGATTAGAACGGATCAACCTAGTCAAAGCAAACTACACAACGCATAACAAGGTAGGTCTCAGAAAGAAGAGTTTCTGTGTAGACTCCATTCCTCGCAGGGTACACAGATCACTGAATCTGTCCTCTCTCTCCGACAGATATCCTCAGAAACCTTAGTTCAGGTATCTCGAAGACATGAGAGTTGGGCCAAGCTAATATTAATGAAAAACAGTAAGCAGAAGGTTGGTGATTCGCTTACGGAACCTCAGTCTCGGACGTGACTCCAGCCCATACTTGTGCTGTTCGAGTCTAGCCAAAGGCTGTAGTTTTGTCCACAAATCGCCGTACTTGTGAGACTTTCGCGACGCGTACTGTGGCGATAAAACAGCAGTCAACAAAACATCAAGTCAAAGTAAGCAAAAAGGCTCTTGAAATTGGCTAACTCACGTGGTCGCCTGACGCCGTCATTGCGAGCCTAATAACCACGATAAAAGGGTAGAATTTGGGACGGTAATCGGTCCCTCCAGAGGGATGCGCCCACGCATTCGACCTCCATTCAGAATCGCAGTGGCGTATTGAATGCGTCTGTAGCCTATACAATGACTTGAGGTGACCAGCCGATATGCAAGTTAGTGTTTGTATCCCCTCCCAGGCGGGTCTGGTAGAAATCAAACGACCCCGGAATGATGGAAGGTTTGGTTGGCTTAGGCGGATATTGATACATTATCCGAACCAGTGCCCATGCGTGTTTGAAGGGCGCCACTTGCCACTGCATCTAGTTCGCCCTAATAATCACGATAGCACGCCCAGTTCTTTTTGTACCTGAATACACCTATAATATTCCAATGATTTCAATATCATTGTTGAGGAACAAGGATTGATGATGCTTTTCTGCTCATTATTACCACTTTGCCGACAATGGCAGCTACCGATGGGTGCCACTGTCACCTGCGCGTGGGCCAACGGGACCCAATGTTGTGTACCACCATGATTTTTGTTTCTATGCAGGTTTGAAAATTTCTCCAATATTTTCACTCTTATTAACAATCTTCAAAGTACCAGTATTCAGCTTGGTCACCAGGAATGTTTCAAATGAGCTTATTTATTATGAACATATATAGATATATAGCCATGGGGAGAGTAGTGAGAAAAACCCAGGTTCCTTGGCATGATTTGTACACGTCCTGGAAGCATTGTAGACACCATAACCCCTCATTTCGATTTTATGACTGCCGAGTTGGTTTCAGCATTTCAGTGACCAAGGATAAATTAAACCTGAAGGAGTTAGAATACTACACGAGTTCCTACTACTAATTCCTAGATTCAATCCTACCGTGCTTCTCAATCCGAACATTTTTCTAAGCCTTAATTGTATTACCTGTATCACCTGTTGTACCTTTGATCGTCGCTTTCCTCCAGCGGGAGCCAGTAACGCCTCCACTTGTCCTTTTCACGAGCCGGAGTGGACCAGTAAATCGTACTTCAGAGACACGAGGCCCAGCATTCCTTTCGTTCATTGCTTCCGTGAAGAGAATGACCATCTCATTGGTAGCCTTCCTGCTGTTCGTTTGACGTCCCGAAGGATCTATTCAGTAATCGCCCCGGTCCATCAATATGTCGCATATCGTGCCCGACCTCAGCAGCATCCCTGATCTTCGTTCGATAGTGAAGCTCTTAACTCTGGATTCCTTTCTCTACTCGCGTGTATGGGGAAATTCCTAGCATCAACCTTTCCACATCGCATTGAATGGCGCTAACTGCTCCCCCATCCTGCTTCCTTAGAGCCCAAGTCTCTGAGGCGTATGTCAAAGTAGGAACATCCGCAGTATCGAAAAGGTGAGTGCGATGCTGGATGTTTTCTGTCCTCTTCACTATTCCCTCGATATTCTTGAGTGGTCCCCACGCGGCGCGTTTTCTTCTGCACAGCACCGGAGCTGGGTCGTTCATCATGTTGACTTCCCGACCTAGGTACACATAGCTAGAGCATTCGGAGATATTCGCTCCGTTCACCGTGATAGGAGTATCAGTTACCAATCCGTTTTTCATGAACATCGTCTTCGTCAAGCTCAATCTCTACAGATCTTTCCACAAGCACTGTCAAACTCGGCCGGCATTCGTACAGCGTGCTCGATGTTCTGTGTTATGACCACGATGTCGTCTGCAAGGCGGAGTTGATGTAGGTAGCGGCCTTCACTCGCATGTCTTCCCATTTTAAATGACGCATGATATTTTCAAGAGTGGCGCTGAAAGTACGGACGAAGTGGTAGCGCCCTGCCGGACACCTCCCTTTACGTTGATGATGACTTTTTTATACAGTGGCGAGATTCTGGTTGTGAACTTATTGTAGAACTCACAAAGCGCCCTTATATGTTGAGTAGGAACACATTTGCTGCCCAGAGCTTCAATTACTGCTTCTGTCTCGACTTACCAAAGGCTTTCTTCAAATCGATGACCATAAGACATAGAAGCGTTTTGTACTTTCGCAATACTTCAGTGAGCCTTGTGGTAGTGTGGACATGATCGATTGTATTGAACTCTTCCCCGAGCCTGATTGCTAGTATGGCTGTCCTTCATGTAACATTCTGAAAAACTTGTTCAGGATGACACACATGAAGAGTTTGTAGATTACAGACAGCAGGCAGATAACGTGACACTTGCCAATATCGTTCGTATCTCCCTTCTGGTACAGCCGTTGGGATCTCTCTTCTTGTACAGCAACATAGTCTTGCTGGTTTTCCACGACGTGGGCCTTTTGCATTCCGTCAGGTGCCGCGTGAAGAGCCCGGCTAATTTGATCCTATCGGGACCGGGCGCCGTACCATTCTTCGTCGACGTGATGGCATGTCCAATTTCGGAGAGGAGAACCGAAGGAGCGATATATTCGTCTTGCTTAGGACGGTGGGTAGGCAGGTAGACGTGGCTGTCGGAGAGATCTGAGTAGAAATCATAGATAACCTTTTCCATTGCCCTTCGAGATGCAGTAACTGTTCCGTCAGAACAACGAAAGGAAGTCATCTTGATCTTGTAATCGGCGAAGCTCCGCCGGGCTTCGCGAGTGCTTTTTTCAGCCTCGACGGCCTCGATTATAAGTGCTGCTCTTCTTCCTTTCAGGTCTTCCTTTATCGATTCTCTGTATAGCTCTGCAAGTTCGGACGTTTGCTGATGATTGCCTACGGCTCGCGCGATTCCACGCTTCAGTATCAGCTACTAAAGTCTTCCACTGGTTTGTCAACTTTAGAAATAACTTCCGTATACCAAAAGGATCAAGATCTTGTTTCATCCATTATACGCAATCAAGTGTGTTACTCATTTGCCAGTAGTACAGTTAATTACACATAGAGGATAGAACAAGATCTTGATCATTTTCATAAAAAGGGGCGTGGTCCAATATCACATTTGGTACTAGTACGGGGGAGAGGATGGGAATGGCAGGCAGCAGGACCGCGTTCCGCATACAACAGGGGGGGCCTGCGCTCAAAAGTCTTCGGTGAAATGCTTTGACGCTTTTTCGTTCATAACTTCTTTCTTAGTGGACTGAATCACGCAAAATTTGGATATGTTCAACTAGAGAACTAGAGCATATTTCACCCTATCCAACACTATTTGAGTGCAAAGCTACAATATCCACAGATAGAGCAGGTCTATTGCGGCAGCAGATTTTGCTAAAAGTAAAGTTGTTGACGTCTGCACTTATTCGCACCTTATGTGCTTTTTTCTCATCTGTTGTGTTCGGCATTACCGCTCGTACACTTTAGACATGACAAAAACGAAAGTGATTCTAGAAGGACCATCACCTGTATTTTGAGACAATTTTGAATTCATGCTCTTGGGAATATCTGGAACATGATCATATTACAGGTAATAGTGGTAACTATTCACAATACACCCACGCTCCAAATATAGAGATTTCGCACGACTAGATCCAGTAGGAAAGGAGTTACGACTGAAAAGTAAAGCTGAAGAAGCATTTCACCGAAGACTTTTGCGCTTAAGCTTGTCTTTCCCTAAGCGCTTGAGCACAGCTTTCCGTATTTCATTCGTTTTACAGTGGAACTGATTTAGAACCTTAATCGACTCTATCACTGCACTTACCCTTCTTGTCGAATCGGAACTAACAGGGAGTCATGGCTATACTGTAAAAAAACAAGGTGTTAGGGGTCGAATGCTCTCTGAAACCTTTCCTTTCGTCGGCCTTCCCATCCTGCCGTCAGTATTCACACCCTGCCTCCTCCTACTAGTTTTGAACTCTCCATGTCTACGGAAACACTAGTTATGAATTTCTATTCAAGCCCCGCCCACGGACCCACTGTCGGCCGGGTCTGGTCCTGCAACCAACAGTAGGGGTTCCCATCCTGCCACCTGTACTCCTACCAAGTTTGACCGCTTCAGGTCCACGGGGATAGAAGTTATGATTTTCCGGTTAAAAACACACACACTCGCACACACACAGACACGCACACCAACAGACACACTTAGCGCGTTATATGTAGTAGGATAACACATTTATAATGTCTTGTCGTAACAGTGTGTTGGCTTTGAAGATAGATTTTTACCTCCAGAGAAAATCAAGATAGTTTTTAGAAGCGCATATTCCTCTGCAGTGATCTGAATTTCCTGGAAAACTGCGGCGACGTTAGTGTGAAGATATTCCACCAGATCTTCAAGGAACTCGTCCAACCTGGTTGGAAGTAAAATAGGGAAATAGTCGATAGATGATAAGGAAGTAGTTATAAGTCCTTCAAATGAGCTCACTCATTATGCCCTCTTTTTTGAGATAATGGGTATTTGAATCCGTGTGGAAAAAGAATCCCTTTATAGTTGTTCAGATATGCATTATAAACCATCATTAGTAGAATAACGCCACTACAATTTGTACTGCAGACAGAAAGCTGAAATTGGCATCCATAACTTCTTCTTTTTATTAACAACAGAGCTTCTTAAAGTAACCAAAATGAACGACTTCAACTTTTTTTACGACTGATGAGAGTATTTGTTACCCGATCTTTCATTTCGAGAAGGTTCAGCTCTGGGCTAACAGTAACGAAATCGGCAAAGTGGGTGATAGAACGGCAATACCCTTGCTTGTGTACGCCCACATTGTTGTCTCGCTCGAAAAATGGGTCCTCATTCCATCCGATCTAAAAAAGAAACCATCTTGCTTCACTTCATACTCATATTTGCTGGGTGTTCTAACCGGTGTTCTTTCGCAGCAAATAAGCGGTCTCTCGAGCACTTCTGAAAGTGACATGTCCAGCGAGCACTCAAATGGTCCCCGAGAGGAGTCGCTATTGTCGCACAACCTAAACGAAGATGATCAGAGAGGGATTTACGAAAAAAAANCTTTTTTTACGGCTGATGAGAGTATTTGTTACCCGATCTTTCACTTCGAGAAGGTTCAGCTCTGGGCTAACAGTAACGAAATCGGCAAAGTGGGTGATAGAACGGCAATACCCTTGCTTATGTACGCCCGCATTGTTGTCTCGCTCGAAAAATGGGTCCTCATTCCATCCGATCTAAAAAAGAAACTATCTTGCTTCACGTCATACTCATATTTGATGGGTGTTCTAACCGGTGTTCTTTCGCAGCAAATAAGCGGTCTCTCGAGCACTTCTGAAAGTGACATGTCCAGCGAGCACTCAAATGGTCCCCGAGAGGAGTCGCTATTGTCGCACAACCTAAAATAACGAAGATGATCAGAGAGGGATTTACGAAAAAATAGTGAATCCTTCTGCGTTGTCCAAAAGAGCTAGTGTCTGTGTCTGTGTCTGTCTGTCTGTCTTATGTGTTATTTTACTACGATTGGGTCGAGTTTGAAGGGCGATGAAAGAAAGAAAATTTCCCAAAGTAGGCGGAGGTTAAGATTGAATTTAACAATGGAAATAGGGAGACCCTTTTGCGATGAGCAAGAGTTCCCCGCAATGAGCGGTGCTTTGTGTATGAATTCTCAACTCGACCTCACCATAACATATACGCCAGAAATAACTTTTCAGAAATCTACATCTCCAGAAAAGGGTAATATTGGACACTCAAACCATTACGCCTTTCTCGGCCTTGGGATTTTGACGTTGCGTTGGGAGCCAAGAGATTGTGAATGGTCGTTGGCTGGAATAGATGTTATCGTTTATGAAAACTAAGGACAAGTGAGCAGTACCCTTTTCATACAACTTGTTAATAGGTTTGTTTTTAAATGAAAAAGCTAGTCCATTGGCTAGTCTATCAGCCTACCTTTGACTAAGTAGTAAAGCGGAACAAATGCTTAGCGATCCCTGTTGATAGACACAATAACTGGCTCTCTGAACTAGTCTGATGTGTACGCAAGAAGCACTAATCAATGTGAGCGAAACGATGGATAAAGGTTCAAATGATTTGCCGTCATCCGATCCAGCTGTAGGAAAGGTTCCCCACACCTCTTGCATTCATATCACGTAAGCCCTACAAACCAAAAGTGGAATCAAACATGAATCAAACCTCATGACCTGGAACAGAATGGGTCTTTAGTAGAACGCGTTATCCCTTTCACCACAGTTGGATATAGTTTTGAAGTAAAAGTATAACGTACTCACACCATATCACGGTAATCATCGAAGACATGCTTTCTTACCTTTCAATGTGGGATTCAAAATACGTTACCTGATCTGAGAAGGGAATTTTGTGCTTGTTTAACTACATTTCATTACTTCATTATTTTGTATATCACCAGAGTCTCATGCCTCCCGTCCTCATTCTCTTCTCTGTCCGATCTGACAAATCCAAGATGGAAAACGTGGAGAATGGGACTCGAGCTTAGAAATTGGTCGAGCATTTGGTCTCTCTACCTCTTCGAGTTATATCGTGCAGATGTATGGCCCGCTTCCATCTGTAGTCCCGCGGAGTGGGGGTCGACCACTAAAAAATCTAAAATGCTCACCCTAGTTGTAAAAAATAACGGAATAAACGCAAACTGGGTCTTTTTCGCCTTTTCTTTATGCCTAGATTAATTTTCACTTTTCAATGAAGAATGATACGTAGCTCGACCCAGCTCGTCGAGCTCCACTTACTGGTTAATTTAAAATTCGAAAACTTGGTCCATCAATGTTCCACACAACACCAGCAACGATGCGAGTGGCATCCGAGTGATCCGGTAATGGGGCTCCAACTATGCCCTAGCTTTTGAGTTTTTGGACCCGGCAGCGTTCTTTCTGTTACCCTTGGGGAACTGGGTAATCCTCAAGGAAATTCGAGGAACCATTGTTATCGGGAACTGTGACTTTAGACCAAAGTGGCTTTTCGAACTGAAAAATAGCAAATATGCGGTCATCTCTGGCACACTTTTCTATAACTTGCAAATTGTATGTTTGAGTTTGGAAAGCAAAGCGATTTTTCGGCACGTGAAAATATTTTTACAGAAAGCACATTTTTATTGCTTTTTCAAGTTAAACTAGAATAATCTTTTCAAACTTTGTGATCAATCACGGCTAGCCGCCTCAAATTGCAGGAAACTCAACTCTTTTTGCCATATGAAGTAAAAATCTGAATACCGATACAGCTGAAACCCATTTTCAAAAAGCTACTCAGTAATATCATTGAATGAATCACACTTCGGATTAACACACTTAGACCAATGTTCTTCCCTACTCCTTCACTCGGCCATCCTATTAGCCATGTAGCTGCAACATATGAATTGATTGCTTGCTTCGATGTGCGCCATCATGGAACATTCCCAGAAAGTTGCACTTGTAATGGAATGTGTACAACCCTTATATGCAACTGTTTCCAATAAACCAGATCACTTTGTAGAACAAGTTAATTCGTTTATACCAGTGTCAGGTCATATCTTCGAATTTTATTCCATGAATTGGCAGTCGTATTTCTGTCGAATCGGTATCATATCCACTTTATAGATTTCTGTGAATCAAGTGATGCGCCGTCTCTCTACAGAGCTGGATGGTTCATATTAATGTGCAAGTATTCGAAGATACAAACTTATTTCCACCTGTTCTATATACCTGCTACTGCGAGCAGGGCAACGCTTACTGCTTTTGGCTTGCCCATACAACATTTTTGTGAATCTACTGTACTAAATTATGCACAACAGCTTTGAACGACTTACCAGCTTTTACCAGCTGCCTTGCCACATGCTTTCGTCTTTACCGTCAGATATCAACTTGTGTAGTCCGTGAGTTCTCGCCAACGTTTTCTGCTGCTCGACGGAACTTCGTAAGATGGAAGGCCGCAGGACAGAGCCTCGTCCCTTTACAGGGGTAGGAGCGCTAACCAAAATCGCCCGTCAAGAGTGTTCAAATTTGGTAGGAGTGCTGGCGGCAGGATGAGAACGCTGACGATAGGTGTTAGGAAGTGATAGTAGTTCATAGTTTATAGCAGGACAAGAAACGGGAAGCGAAGAAGTATTGTGATCACGAATGCGATCATATGGAAAGAAACCACTGATATAAACTTTGCTTCATGTAGTGACTCGTAATATAATATAATATAAACATAAGGACCGAACTGTACACGTTGGTAAATCGCATGATTAACTGTTAACACAAATAGGCAATAAAAATAAGGAAAAGAATGCTAAGTGACTTCTAGGTGAGAATAAGTGAGGACAAGGGTTAAAACCAAAAAAGCTACTAAACATGAACGATTGCATCATAGCGAACTTTAGTGACGTAATTAAGAGCAGCATTGCCTGATGTCGGGCATAATGGCGTATGTGAGTATAGAGTACTGTGCGAGAAGCGTTAAGCGGCGGTGCTCCTCGCGTGGTTTAACCGTGACGAAGATCATGCAACCGTGCAGCCAACCGGTACGACGTACGATGATGAACTGACAGGTAGTTGGCACTGAAAGGTTTGTTCTCTTGCCTTCTCGGAGCTTCTGCACGATTTCAGCACCAGCGGTCTCCCTGCACCTTGGCCGTGGGGCAGATTTGCTCGAGGCGGGAAAGTCACGAGATAGAGGGTGTGGGTTAGAAGGGAACGTAAATGTTCGGTGATAGAAGTTGATAACAACTGTTAGGAATTGGTAACGAGATATAGTAGGCGAGGGCCACTAGGCCTGCAAAGTCCTTGGTGTTGACAGTAAAGCCTTGACAATTCAATAGGTGATGTGGGATGTGACGGAGTTGTAAGTATTCTGTGACAAGAACTGATGACAACTGTTAAGAGCTGATAAGAGATACCAGGAAGCGGAGGCCAAGCACCAAGCAAACCCCCAGAAAAAAATCAGTTCGGTAGCGAAGGTGTGGCTTTGAATTTTTGGTATACTTCATTCGATAAGACGGGATGGTGAAGTACTGTGACAAAGGTAGTGGTAAGTGCAGTAACTGCGATCGGTTAAACCGATGGAAGGTTTTCATCATGAATAGATTAGAGTTTGGTTTATTCATTGCTGTTAGATTACGACACTGCCCAGCAAGCTTTGTGACTCATTGTCAGTAATAGATCAGGATTTCTGTTTGCTTCGTTATCCTTTGCGACAAAATTTATCGACCGCAAATAACTTCGTAATCTCAGATGATGATATATCCGTGCGAGAGAGGTTTTCTTGATAACGACATCTGATGATGGTGTTTTTACCAACCGACCACATTCGTGAGTGCTTCCAAAGCCTTGTTACAAAAAAATTTCACTCCCAATGAGTAAATATTGTTGAGATGAAGACCAACAGATCGACCCTAGTCCTGTGATCATAGACAGAACCATCGGAACACATTAAATGTTACTTCCACTGCCCTATAGGCCCTGTTTCCAATTTCTTGTGCAGGAAAGTATTTCAAAGAGTGGCGAGTCAGCCGGAGTGGCGAGTTTGCCGATTATAACAATTTTCATACAAAAGAGGAAAGCCACGGGAAGCTAAACGCGAGCGAAAATTATTACGGAGGAGGGAGGAGAGAGAGCGAAACGGGCAGTTTTAGTAAGAGTACTAAATGGGGATGCACTAAATGGGGTTGTGAATTGAGATATAATACATACCACACAAACACATAGCCCACACACACGCACGCACACCAGTACATATGTACAAGCACAGGCACGCATGCACAGTGGTGTAGGTCATCTGCAAGTAGTTTCCCATGTCAACTCGATCTGCTGCCATTGGCTGGTAAAAACAATTTCCTCTGTTTGATAACATTAACACTGCCTACTATCACTGCTAGTGTCTCAGAATAGTGTTCGTCGTTTACCCTTTAATTTCAATTCATTGTCTACCTTTCTATAACCACGAGCATCTTCGCAAAGTCAATGGCTTTCGAAGCGCTTTTAAGGTCGTTGATGAAGTGGATACCAATACTGGTTGAATAGAGCTGCTCGTTCTGAAAACAGTGCATAAGCCATATACCAGGCACTTGCGGGCATTTACCTTTTGTAAATTGCAACTTCCATGAGGCGTATACGGTACCATTGACTGGTTGTATTTTCCGACATTCGAGCTCCTTTTTAGTCGACCAACATCTGCGAACAAAATTTTCTTCAGAAAAGAACGCTATTACGATCTTTGAACGCTTGTGTTCCCTTGTTCATTTTCAGCTTTCCTCCTCTTCTGTTCTGTATCTAACTTGTCTTCAGTTTGAGCGACTTGCCTTGCTTGGTCATATTGGCCTGTAGACATTTCATATAACGGCAAGCTCTGCAGGAGTTTCTCGTTTCTGGAATTCTCCATAACAAATTGAGCTTACAAGGGAAGGATCCTAAGTTGAAATGTTCACTTGATGTGAGACCTACACAACAGTTACGTATATACGTTTTTCTGATTTTCAAATCTGTTTTCCAACTTTGCCAAACGATTCTCCGAACGAAGTTATGCAGCAGGTTTAGGCGAGTGCTTGACGCAAACAAACACTCAAGACATGGGAGCAATAGTGCTAACAGCTATGATTTGGAGCAGTGGTAAGCGTGACGCTTCATATGCAAGAGGCCATGGATTGGGTTTGTGAGGTAGTGGTTTTTGCATTTTGCAGTGCGCCTTTCTCAAGAAAGGGAAACCCTTTTGTGCTGATTTTACCACCTTCAGCGGCCTTTTTGATACCTGAGGTGGTTTTGTGCCTATCCAAGTCATTCAATATGGCCACAGCCTCTTTGCACTTCTCATTCACTCTACACTTACAGTATGTTCAAATCACGTGCGAAACCGAACAGAATGCATTACATTTCAGTTGTCTCAAAATCACCTGAATGAGTGAGAAGAAACCAGCGGAATGTTGGAACAAAATAGAAATCATTTTAGTTTGGAATTACGGAATGGACGCAATCGGCGGAGATTAGAGTTGCGAGTGTGCCCGCAACGTTGTTATTATGAGCAGCTACGCATGTGGTGATATTTTTGGACATTCTACTGAACAAAAGGAGGCAAACGAAGCATAGATGAGACTTTCACCAATCTTGGTTGCTTTTGTTGATTATAACTGCATGACTTTCCAAAAGTGCTCAAGAGTCTACAACAGCAATATGGATATTGGTGAGTGCCATTCTATTTTGAAGTGCTTGCTCATAGTGAGCGTTCTAGACACTCGCACCTCCAAATCCATGCGAGTAAGAGCACCTGCTACAAAATCGCGCTAGTACTTTTTGTCAAAATTAGGTCTGTAAACGTAAAGTAATACAGGATATCTGTCAAATAGCTTGGAACAACAACAACGCGTGGCAGGCAAGACACGTCACGAAGGCAAGACATAGCCGTGAAAAAGAGGCATCTATCAGAATCTGACCGCACGACCCTTCCCACTCCTATCTAGCTTCTTTAAGCTAAAAATTGCGCGTGTGCATTTCCATCATGGATCCCACAACGAAAGTGATTAATGTAGGTAGGCAATGATTTAATAGTGACTTGATTCAGGTAGGAGCCGAATCACCTCGAGCATCAAAAAGGTCGCTGAAAGTGATACAATTAGCATACAAAAGCTTTCCCGTTCTTGATGAAAACGCCAGCGGAATGCAAAAACCACATCCCTTAAAGAACTCGCCCTATGGACTCATGCATATGAAGCGACACGCTTACCACTGCTCCAAATCCCACTTTTAGCTGCTTCCATGTCTTAAGTGCTTGTTTGCGTCAGGCATTACCTAAAACCACCTTCATAACATCATTCGAAGAGTCGCTTGGCGAATTTGGAGAGCAGGTTTGAAATCGGCGTCTATAAATACGTGCAGTAGTTTAAGTCTTATTTCGAACGGCCTCTTCGACCTAGAATCCTTCCCTTGATAGATGAAGCCAATATTTTTCAAGAACCGCAAAAAAAAACTATGCAACCACATCCTTCACGACTTCTGAAAAAAAACTGAAATTAGTGTAGGATCGGCGAAACTGATCCTGTCACTGCGTCTTGTCAACATCTCGCTATTAAAATTACTCTGAGTTACACATTCCCATAGAAGTCCGGATGCGGCAGCAGGTGAAGGAGAGGCATTTGTTGTTACCTTGAGATATAAGGATAGGAGCGATATATCACCTTTGCTTATGATACAATTACCATTCTTTTCGCACAGAAGTTGTACGTTTTTTTGAACGGTGCGAATAAAGAAAATTCTGCAGCTCCTGAAGTAGAATAATGATCGGTAAACAACATGCGATACGCCTTTCCTTAAAAATTTTTTTTACAGGCCAAATTGCCAAATATTCAGACATAGTCACCTGAGGTTGGCGAGTTATTTACAAAACTTCGTCCTCGGACGGGATAGAAACCCCGACTCATGCAATCCAGACACCTTGCCCTTATCCTTTACACTACCAAAACCCCACTAGCCCTCGCCTTCATAAGGACTTGCATATATGCCACCAGTCGGTTCATCCGACTGAAGCCTGTCATCCCTAATTCTTTGACAGAGCTGTTGTAATCGGCTAACTCTCTACTCCTGATTTGGAACAGACAACATTGTCCTGTGCACAACTTCGACACAGGACTAACAGGGCAGTGCAAATGGTATTCAGTGTGGATCGATGCGTACGCCTTCAGTTGGATGCCTCGATTTTTGCTCTCATTCTCAAAACGAAATACCACATTAAGATTCAACTGTAATTAACCAAAACATTGGGTGGTACTCGCAAATGTCTCGAGTGATGATAACACCATTATCAGATGTATCAGTGGACCCTTTTCCTCACGAAGTTATCAGTAGTTGAAAATTCCAGATTACAGGCGGTCGTCTAAGTTTTGTCTATCTCTCATATCTATAAAGCAGTAACTTGTGGTGTCGGTTTATCGGCTTATGTGTTTGTCTGTGTGTCGGCTTGTCGGTTTGCTGGTCTGTCCGTCCGCAAAATTTTTATGATTAGAATAAAGGTAGTGTTATGGAAAACCCAGCTCTTATGTAGATGGCGATGTCCGTTCCTCCAAGGGTGCCACTGGAAACTGCCCATTCTGTGGGCTGAGCTGAACACGGACATTCGAGCGCAGGCAACAGGCCCCCGTGACAGGCCGGCCTAACACCCCCATCACATCAGAAATGTTATAGTCACACATAGAATTCCAATGTAATACTACGGCGTCCGCGGGAGCACTCGCAAGGCCTGGTGAGTGTGAAAAGTACGCGAGGGTCTCCGGTGCAGGGACGGCGGGGGGGGGGCAACTAAGCTAGTCCGAAAGCCACGCAACGTATGGAAGACCCGCGCTGCTACGTTAAATGTCGGCACGTTGACGGGACGCTTGTACGAGTTGGCAGAAGCTCTAGAGCGTCGACGAATTGTTTTGTGTGCCGTGCAGGAAACGAAGTGGTCCTGTTGCAGTCGATGTCTCTGAACGTCTCTGAACGTTTCCGTGACTCGATAATAAGCTTGGAACGCTTCGATGACCGCCTAATGAAGATCGTGCCTGCCATCGAACGTCAAAAATACCATCTCTTCTCAGCGTATGCTCAGCAGACTGGATGCTCCGAGCAAACCAAGGACACGTTCTGGAACTTGCTCGATGAAAAAAGACAGCTGAAGTACCGTTACAAGAAGCCATAGTTGTCGCGGGTGACCTCAACGGGCACGTGGGCGCTGTGAGATATAGCTGCCATGAAGGTTTTGGATTTGGGTCACGTAACTGATGGCGAGCGAATTTTCGACTATTCAGACTCGCATAATCTCGCCACTGTAAACACGAGATTTCGCAAACGTGACTCTCATCTCATCACCCTCTATGGCGTAAATAACAGAACACAAATTGATTTTGTCAATTGTCAATTGTCATTTGTCATGCACCTCGACCAGGGGCTCGTAACAGACGCGAAAACAGTCCCCTAGGAAACGGTCGCAACACAACACCGACCACTGATTTGTACGTTGAAGATCGCCCTGCCGAAACCGAAATTACTAGAAAGGTGTGGGCCAACGAGAATCAAGTGGTGGCGACTGAAGGAGAAGGAAACGGCCATCGTTTCCAGCATTCTTTTACCAACGGTAACGACTGTCGACGATACTCGGAAGAGAGCTGCGGAAGCGATAACCCGGGTTGCGCGGTCGCAGCTCGGCATGACGAAGCGTGGGCGGCGAAAGCTCGATAAGCAAACTTGGCTGTGGACGGACCATGCCAGGGATAGAGCCCTTGAGTAGAAAAAGCAGTACGACGCATTTCTTATCGAAAAGGCGGCTGCCAGTTGGCAACCCTATCAGATAAAAGATAAAAAGAAAGAAGCGAAGAAGGCCGTTGCTTCTAAGAAGGCAGCCCATTATGCCGATCTTATTAAGAAACTCGAGTCTCGTGATGGTAAGCGGTATGTTTGCCGATTCGCAAAGACCCGCAACCGCTAGACCGAAAATATAGAAAAGTTCTTCGACATAAATGACAAGAACGGTCACCTCTTAACAGACCGCAGGCAAACACTGAAACGATGGCGATAGTACTTCGCAAACATCTCGACAGTCGAATTTGCTCATCCCGCCATCCCCTGCGCTTCTCTAGTGTACGGCCCCGTTCAGAAGACAGCCGTGAATGAGACCATTACGGCTTTAAGAAGATGAAATCAGGCAAAGCAGCTGGTCCTGACGACTTAGCGGCGGACTTG